CCCCAAAACCCCAAAACCCCAAAACCCCAAAACCCCAAAACCCCAAAACCCCAGTTAAATTTTAGAAATATAAATATGAAGGAAGCTTCTAGACTCAAAATGGATGCTAATCTGGTAGACCTGACTACCAAGCGGTAAGGCTACTATAAACCAATACTCTAGATACTCTAAGAAGGGAGGCAAAAAGGAAGGAATTCTTAGAAGAATGTATAGAGGGAGGACAAACCATGTCTCACATGACTTTTCAGGTAATTTTCACTAGTCTCAGCCCTGATAGATCATAGTTTAACCAAAGTTCGAAACCAAGGGCTCACTACAAAAGCTATGAAGAAGATTTTGATCGGTGATTCTGATTTTGATACTTTTGCAGAAGCCCTGGAGACTGAGCGGACACAGAAAATGGTCTCCGATCAAGAAATCCGAATTCATAAGTATGTAAAAGAGATCAAGAAGGATACACTAGAGGAGTATAGAAAATACTATTATGGGAAAGATGGAAAATTAAATAAGCGAAATGACTCTCCTAAATCCCTCCCTCGCAAAGTCAGGTTTGGGAACCCTAAAGATGAATTCCAAGAAATGCCTTTGGAGGACTACTTATTTGCTGGAATTAAAAATGATAATAGCTTGGGCAAAAATAATGAAATAAAACTTCCAGATAATAAAGAGATTTACCAACAGACTGACTTTCTCGACTCTCTTCGTAAGCTTGAGGAGGAAAACACTCTTAGATCCCTGACTTCCAGTAAATTAACCACAGAAGATCTGAAGAAGAGAAGAGAGGTAAAGGTTATCCTCCTGACTCTCCATAATGTGGAAAGAATCACTAAAAGAATCAATTTTGTTAATAAAAATCACAAAGGAACATTTAAGTATGAAAACTCTATAAATATTCCCCTTCCAAGAAGAATTGAAAAGAAGAACAAAATCAAGATTGACAAGCAACTGAGTGAGTTCTTGGTTGAAACTAGTGAAAGGCTAAGGCAAAATAAGCATCTAAAACATTTGTATAAGTTTGATGGAACCCCAATATTTGCTCTTACTGAAGTACAACCGGGCTCATCCGTCTTTGTAAGCCATTCACCATACTTTTGGAAAATTATTAGGGAAAGCAATAAGTACCTGTCTAATGTGCCTTATCGCCGCAACACTAACCTGAATTCTCCTTCATCTCCCAAGCTATCTCATACGACTGAATCAGTCCGAAATTTGAGGAGGAGGAATCATTATTCCAATTCCTTTAGTGACAAAGTCCACAAGATTGGAGTCAAAGAAATTGCTAATGATACCATTTGTGAGCCTTCCCTGATATACACTAGAGATTCATGAGCTCGTGTATTAGACCAATCAATGAGAGCAGTCAATGGTCTAGATGAAGATAATAAAATTCAGCAAATTTAAGTTTTCAAAGTACGTTGGGAGTCTCAACCAGAAACCCTGAGAAGGTACCTTAAATAGGGACTATAAAAGCCACAATGTTAGCATTAACTCTTCAATTGATCCTGAACGATACATTGAGAATTCTTTAGACAAAGGAAGAAGAAACAAGCTGAATAAAGAGTTCAGCTTGTTCAAGCCAAAGGCTTATAAATTGAACAAGACTATTCAGAATCACGAACAGATCCGACAAATTAAGAAGAGGAAGATCAATATTTATTTCAATAACTTTGCTCAGCACAATATGAAACCTCCCATTCTCACTGAAAATGTAGATGCTGGGAAGTCATTTGTGGGAAAGCTTGAGCCCATCAACAAGACGACAGATAACTCTTCAGTCTCTATAGCCCAGAGCTCTGAGCAGGTAGTGAACCTCCAGGAGAGCTTGTATTAAAAGTAAATTCAATATTAATTATAGCTGGGGTTTTGGGGTTTTGGGGTTTTGGGGTTTTGGGGTTTTGGGGTTTTGGGG